TGACAAAAAAAATTATTGTGAAAGTTTAAGTCCATAATATTAATATTAAAAGAGGTCTATCATCGCAATTTTAATTTTTTTTCTCCTCAGCAAGGTTTTGTCTCAGAACTCCCAAACCATTGAGTTTAACAAAATTGACTCAAAAATATTTTTTTAAGAAAATTAAATTCTCTACAAAAAAGGTTAAAGTAAAATTTTCCGTCAGATGAATCATTTCCTTAAAATCATGCCTTAAAAATTGGTATAGTTTTACATTTTGATCTTTTAAATTGGAATTTTGTAATTCATGTAAAAATCAGTACCCATAAAAAACCGATAAATATTCTTATGGAAAATCAAATGCTTTACAAAAAAAGCCTCTCAACATTTTTGGCTAAATTCACTCATTCAAAAGTTATTCAATAGTTAAAATTTCGTTTTGACTTCAAATTTAACCTTGAATAACTTTTGATGGAGTGAATTTAGCCAAAAATGATAAAAGACTTTTTTTGTAGAGCATTTGATTTCCCATAAGAATATTTATCGGTTTTTTTTCGGGTACTGATTTTTACATGAATTACAAAATCCCAAAGTTCAAAGATCAAATTGTAAAACTATATAAATTTTTAAGGCATGATTTTAAGAAAACGGTTCATCTGACGGGAAATTCCAATCAAACCTTTTTTGTAGAGCATTCAATTTTCTACAAAAAATATTTTTAAGTCAAATTTGTTAAACTCAATGGTTTGGGAGTTCTGAGACAAAAACTCGTCAGGAAAAAAAATCTAAAATTGAGACCTCTTAATATTGATATTATGGACTTAAACTTTCACCATAATTTTTTTTGTCACCTCAAACAATATTTTCGATATACTTTACAAAAAAAAAATAGTCGGTTTTTTTGGCCCATTCCAATATAAATATAATATAATATGTATATAATTTTTTTTGTCACCTCAAACAATATTTTCGATACACTTTACAAAAAAAAAATAGTCGATTTTTTTGGCCCATTCCAATATAAATATAATTTAATATGTATATATATATATATATATATATATATATATATATATATGTATTAGTGGAGTTTCCACGTCACCTGAAGATGGTATATGAGATTGTACCGAAACGTCGTCAGACATACGGTTCTTTTAAGAACCAAAAAACCGACAACACGTAGCAGATCCCGAAAAACCCCTAATACATACAACGCCCGTGGAAACCTAAACAGAACATGTTATGTTTAATCGTGTTGTTTTTATTTCATATCGTCTATTTTATGCGGTTGTTGCCTATTTTAGGCACATTCGGCCTAAAACGGCCTAAAATGTAGGTTTTTATTGGCTATTTATGTGTCCGAATTTCCTATTTTTAAGGGCCTAAAATCCGGTATTTGCCAATTAGGCATTAAGGGTCTCTAAAGTAAATTTGGTTTTATAAATGACATCTCATAATAAAGTAAAGTTAGAACTTACAAGCATAGAAGGCGTTATGGTTTTAAAAGTAGGTTTTGTTGTGCCTAATATAGCTTTCCATTAAAGTAATATGGTTCTAAGAACAATTAACATTTGTGATAACTCCTATAAACATCTTTTCAAAGAATGTGATAAAGCTTTGATATATTTAGGTATAAGAGTAGGCTTGCCAGATATTAATTTCGAAAAAGGGGTATTTGAAAGGTGACTCCAATTAGGATTTAAATTGAATACTGATGATGTTAAAACTAACAATAATTTTACAAATCTTTATTGAACTTTTTATATTTTTTGCAAAAATACCATTTCACGTATGATTCATAAACTTTCGGTTGGCGCTGGCGGTTGGCTTTATGAATAAAAGCGTGTATTTTCAATGATTTAACTTTTAACGCCAACCTCCAGCGGAAGCTGAAAGTTTATGAATCGTGCTTTAAACCTTACAGGTATAAATATCTAATAATAAATATTTTGAATTTTAACAGAAATATTTTGAATTTTAACGAAAACTTTAATTACTAATAACTTATTAACAAAAAAAAATAGCGAAAAGTAACACATTAAAGTTTAATTCAATTTCAATTGTTATATATACTTTTCACTTGAACTTGTTGCTTTTAACAATTTCTCATTTTCCAAAACATATTTATGAAATTCTTTGCAGGTTTTCCCATAATTATGTTTAACCATAATTTCGGCCTCTATAGTTTTTAGTGATAAGTTACTTCTATTATCTCGCCATGCATGAAATAATAAGCTAAACATTCTTTCGCTCATAGCATTTGAATGTGGAAGTGCAAAAACAAAATTAATAATTTTTTCTATGTTGGGGTGTCTCAAATGAGTTTAAAAAAGTTGTCCATTTTTGCTCATATGACGGAATTTTTTCCAAGGAAAGAAATGGCGTTTTAAGAAAAACAAATTCTTCAAAAAGTAAGTCACATTTTACGCCAGTAATATTGAATTTATCCAATACAGTAGTGAGTTGTTCAAAAGATGGAACATTTTTTAATTGAAAAACTCTTAGAACTTCATATTTATTATTTTTAAATTGAAATCTTTTATCAATGTATTCAACAGTTTTTTTCTAAAAAAGCATTGGATCGCCTTTTGAAGAAGTCAATTTCATTTTGATTGTCGCATTTTAGAATTACCTGCCGCGCAATCATTCCATAGTATTTTTCGGAAAGTTTTAATCTTAACGAATTTTGCAAATCAAGCATTAGGTCATATAGTTCTATTATTACAGGTCCATTATTTTCAAGTTTTAAAATAATATTTTGAATTAAAGATCCGATATTGGAAAATAAACCCAGATAAGCTTCCGGTAACTCATTATTAAAAAATTCTCGAAGAATTGGTGGACAAGTATCTAATGATAAGAAATATCTTTTAACAGGCTCAAAATTTTTGAACAGTCTATCAATAGCTGGAACAAGAGAAAGCCATCTAGTACTAACGTGCCTCAGCAACTCTGAATATTGTACATCACAAAACTCGTAAAAATTTATAAGTTAATGCTTTCTTTGTATTAAATGTTTTTAGAATAATGCATTCTAGGTCAAATTTCAAGCAATTGGAGGAATTTTTTATTGAGTTGTTTAGCATATGGCATAGGCAACCCATATCTAAAATATCGGGATTATTTTTTTCAATTCCGTAAAAACGCTGTGATTTTTCCCAAAATTTACATTGGCGTTATCCGCGCAAAAACTTATTATGTTTTTAATATTTAGGCCCTTTTTTCTATTTTTTCGATTAGTAATTTGGCTATAGGTTCTGCAGTTTCAGAAGAAGAATCGAAGAAATTTAGAACTTTTGTTTGAACTGTATTTTTTTTTAAAATAGCGAACAACCAGAGGAAACATTTTAATATTTCCTTTATTTGAGGCATCAGTCGCTAAAGAAAATGGATGGTTTTCTCGAAGATCATTAATAATAGTATTTAAGGATTCAATTGCCAAAACATTGGTAACTATTTTTGACAATTTAGTTCTACCACAAGAAAAAGACTGACCAATTTTTGAGTCGGGAAATATTGTAGGATAAAATGAGCTGCTACAGTTTGCTGAATTATAACTATAAGCATGTTGCACTGTGTGGTATACAAAGGAACACTCAGCAGCAGTTATCTTTTTATTTAAATCTGTTAATGTACCTGATGTTGAAGATCCTTTCAAAAATGAAGAAATATTTGATGTTTTTGCCGAGAGTTCCAGTTGTTTCTTATGTTTGTTGGAATGCATACTCTCTAAAAATGAATTAGTCAAAAATGACTAATTTAATAGTTATTAGTGGCTGCTTTTTCACTTGTACCATGGTAAACCATGGAATACCATGGTATACCAAAATTAATAGCCAATTCTTATGTAAAATTGTCCCCTGAATCCGAAGATACCGTCAAAAATTATGAAAGTGGAGCATTTTTTGAGATATAGTCAATTCCATATTAAATGGAAAATTGACTATATCTCAAAAAGTGTTCAACTTTTTTAACTTTTGACAACATTTTTGAATTTAATTTTACATTAGAATCGGCTGTTAAATTTTGTGATACCATGGTATTCCATAGTTAACCATGGTACAAGTGAAAAAGCAGCCACTAATAACTATTAAATTAGTCATTTTTGACTAATTCATTTTAGTATGTTTTTTACATCAAAAACGCCTCCGTTAGCTATGGAGAAGTTAGAGTGACATATACAAAATTTTGCGAATCCGGCTTCTTTGCCTTTTACAAGCCAGTTATACGTTTTGGACCAATCGTCATTAAAATGATTTCGTCTTTTTTTGCTCCGTTTTGGTTAAAATTCTTGCGATTTTTCATCATCAGTGTTATAGTAAGTTTCTGATGATGACATATTGTGCAGTTGTGCAATCTATAGTAATTAAAACGAAGAGATTTTGTTTATAAATACAAAAAAAATTCAACTAAACTTACTTGAGAGCAATTGCACTGGAAACCCTTCAGATTAACACTGTACACTTAAGTAATTAAGCAACAATAGAAATTAAAGACACCAAACTAAATTAAGAAATTAAAATTACTTAGAATAGTCGAACTGCTGTGCTCTACGTAATCTCGTATAAACGTAATGCGCAGTCATGAAGCGAATCGCTCCCAGTAGTAATAAAGGCGGTAGACAGGAGATGTAAAAAGCAGTAAATTTGAGTTAGAAAATGGTAGAAATGATAATTTAATATAAGATAAAGTGCTGAGTGCCGAATGACCCGTGTCCGTTCAAAATTAAGTTTTATGTAAAAATACACCCGTCTTAAAATGGGGTATTTTTGGTACCACTTTTGGATTTTTAGAAAAAGGGTATTTTTAAAATTCTATATAGAAAAAGGGGTATTGTACCCCAAAAAGGGGTACGTCTGGCAAGCCTATATAAGAGTCACATGTGTTACTTGGGTAGGGACCAAACTTTTAAAATGCTTTAAAATATAACAAACATGGTAACAAATCGGACAATTTTATTTTTTTGTTGAACGCATGTAACTTAAATGCAACTTTTTGTCAAGGACTGAAAAAAAACTTACCTTTTTCTGCTCTTGGCATGACTTTTTTTCCACTATTTCTTTACTTAAAACTTAAATGTCCTTCCTACAAAAAAAAATTAAAATAGTTTTTACATACAAAACAGGTAAAAAACCGCAAATTAAATTAAAAGTTACTATATAAAATGTAGGTATAGTTTAAAAAATATTAGCTCGACTCAAATTATAATATTTGTGAATAGTGCCTTGAAGTATACATTTGCTGCTGCTTACTTCGTCAAGAAACATTTCTTCTTCGGCTTCAAATTTCATTTCAACTTGTTCGGCTCCATCAAAATCGTCCATCGAATTGTCGTTATCATCCAATGCTTCTTCGGTTTCTTGTTTTATTGCTGTACCAGAGGTTGAAGGCATTTCTTGGTCAGCAGAGGATGGTCTTGGTTCATTGTAATTCATTGGAATTACAACTGGTTCAATAGGTTCCTTTTTAATAACTATTTGCTCTATTGTGCATGGCAACTCTACAAAATAATTGATTGTTTCAAACTTTGCTTTCAATTCTTTAAAATTTTAACTATAAATATAAAAACAAGGCTTCATATAAACAAAATACTGGTATTACAGGTAATTGCGTTATGAACCATTTCTTACGGTACAAAGGGGCCGTCCATAAATCTCCTGACGCTGGTAGGGGGGAGGATGGGTTTGAAGGACCGCCACGATTTGTCACGACCGTCATAATATGACAAAGTAAATTGAATGAAATTAATGTTTGTTCAATTTTTAGTCAGTTGTGTTTTAAGGACCGTCACCATTTGTCAAGGCCGAGGGGGGTTTAAAAACGTCATATGACAAAGTAAATCGAATGAAATTGCTTCTTTGGTTAATTTTTAGTTGGTAACAAAAAACAGTGTAATCGATGTTTATCAAAATATACAGGGTGTCTCAAAAGTCAAGTACAGCAGAAAAGGGGTGCATGAAGGGCGGTCGTTTTTCGATCAGACGCACTATTAATTAGTTATTAATAAAATAAAGTAGCCACACAGGCGTGTTTTAGCAGAATGATTAGAGGTGGGAGAAATATAATGTGCAGCTTAAGTCGTTTTTTCGCGTAAATACTATGTAATACTACGGTTAAATAAGTCATGACGTCACAGTTAATTCGTATAACCATGGTTAGGTTTCTAACATTTGACATTTGTTTACTTGTTCATAACCTATAATTTTTGAAATGTGTTTTTACCTATTTATATTTAATTTCTATGCTTTTACCGGTGTAAATAAATTTCTTTGCCTCTTCTTATACCTAGTATATACTTTTTCTATACTAGTTTTTTTAATACACGTTATCCAATTCTACTACATATTTCGTTTACCATTTTAATACAAAGTTTAAATTCGGTTTAAGAGCCTACTTAAAATATTTTAAATTTCAAATTTCAAAAATATAAGTCGTTTTTTCGCGTAAATACCATGAAATACTATGGTTATTAAACTTAACCTTGGTTAATAGTTAAGGCATTTTTGCGTTTAGAGTGCGTTCAAAAATCCTAACTATGACGTCAAAAATACCAGACCATAAAACTATATCGCTGAGCTAGTTATTCAACGTGGTTAATAGTCTTTCTCTTTTTAATATATATTTTTCTCTGTTTCGATCTGTCAAAAAGTTGTTTGCATTTGAAATTTAAAATATTTTAAGTAGGTATCAAAGATAATTATTATCTATGTATTATCTTTGGGTACAATTGCTCTTAAACCGAATTTAAACTTTGTATTAAAATGATAGGGTGCTCCATATTGTGGAATCTCCACAAGAAGTGGAGGAATTATATGCAGGTTTGTTTTATATTCTTCCTTATTTTGTATTAAACAGGAGAATTGGATAACGTGTATTGAAAAAACTAGTATAGAAAAAAAATATACTAGGTATAAGAAAAGGCAAAGAAATTTATTTACACCGGTAAAAGCATAGAAATTAAATATAAATAGGTAAAAACACATTTCAAAAATTTTAGGTTATGAACAAGTAAATAAATGTCAAATATTAGAAACCTAACCATGGTTATACGAATTGACTGTGACGTCATGACTTATTTAACCGTAGTATTACATAGTACTTACGCGAAAAAACGACTATAAATTAAAAAGAGAAAGACTATTAACCACGTTGAATAACTAGCGCAGCGGTATAGTTTTATGGTTTGGTATTTGTGACGTCATAGTTAGGATTTTTGAACGCACTCTAAACGCAAAAATTCCTTAACTAAGGTTAAGTTTAATAACCATAGTATTTCATGGTATTTACGCGAAAAAAACGACTTTAATATTAGAAATTCTATATATAATCGTAGTGTAAAATGACCGGTCATGACCGGCCTTTATTATATGATTGACATAGTCTCTAAGTGTTTTAGTTTTTAGGTTAGTTTTAACTTGAGACATGGGCGCCGCTACATAGGGCAGGGGGGGGGCCCGGCCCCCCCCCCTGGAAATTCATACCCAGAAAATCCGGTACTTCATAAGTGCTGATCGTTATCATTTGTTCATTATTTTTTAGATAAATTAGATTTGTTATCTTATAATTTAAGATTTGTGCCATCTTAATGAACACTAGTGTTGTTACAGTTGTAAAATGAATGAAATGGCTGGATGTTCAAAGAAATCAGAAGCACAGTTTACTGATTCCGTTCATAATCCTATGGCGAAGAAACCAGAAGCCACAGATCATTATGTTCATATTCCAAAGATCTTCGATGGAATCTTATATACGTGCAATAAGGTTCATATCAATTTTAATTTGGAATCCAAGGGGTTTTAGCTTAAATAAAACTTAAAAATTGAAATAATCCGGAAACTGTTCTTGGAAAATTAATGAAATAAATATTAAAAAAATAGAGGATTTATTTATAGATTCAGGATTTAAATCCTTTTTTGCAAGTGGATTTGGGATTTATGATTTAAATCCAGATAACGTAATGGATTTATGATTGAGGATTTAGATCCAGTTTATGGTTTATGGTGTGGATTTATGGATTTAGATTTAAATCCTTTTTGCCGGATCTTGCCCATCCCTGAGTAAGACACGTTCTTGGCTGACATATTTCTATATACAAACTATATATGTTGAAAAAGTCGACTATAGAAGAGATTTCTTCATAAGCCTAGTGAATTGATAAACAGATGGTGCTAATAATTGTGTAAAATTTACAAATATACATACAGGGTGTCCCAAAAGTCAACGATATCCTTTGAAGGACTCATAGGTCAGCTCATGACTAATCAGAATATCAAAACATGACCTTGGTAAAAAATCATTAGTTTTTAAGATATTGGCATTTTTATGAATTTTGTGAAACTTTATACAAAAACCCTGAATAGGACTGCTATTAATTACAATTCAAAATTAAATTAATAGCAGATTTTGTAGCTGTGGCACTCGAAAAACTAATCTAAGGTGTCAAGTTTTACAAAATTCATAAAATGTCAAAAACTAACGATTTTTTACTAAGGTCATATTTTGATTTTCTGCTTTGTCATGAGTTGGTCTATCAGTCCTCCAAAGGATCTTGTTGACTTTTGGGACACCCTGTATAAAGATGATATTTTATTTGACTTAAGTTTAATGTGAACTTCTACAGTACAACGTGATTATAAATAACATCTATCAAAATTCTAAAAAACTTTAAGGGCCCCCCCCCCTAGACGAATTCCTTCCGGCGCCCATGACTTGAGACATTCTTTCTTTAGGGAAAATTGGTGGCCCTAATACTTGTAAGCCTAAACAACCGTTTTACTCCTCTTTTGGTTAAAATAAACCTTTTTCTATCAGGGCTGTCATTAAACTGTCAAATTTAAATTTAAGGTTAATTTACCATAACTTACAAATTTAAATTTGATAGTTTGATGACAGCCCTGAAAGAATAAGGTTTAATCCTGATAGCAGGGTTTTTTAACCTTCCAGTGAGAATATTCTTCGGATCACGCTATATTTCTTCTAAAGAACATGCGTAAAAGACATATAGCATGATCCTAAGAATATTCTTACTGGCCTATAGGCAGGTTCTTAGAAGGTGCAAAGTTTTAGTGGTAAAAATTAGTCAACTCCAAACATATGCTTAGAAAGTTAAGAAAGTAATTGCTATAGAAAGTTAATTTAGGAATATTCCTGTTAAGCATATTTAGTTGTTACCTATATAATAGTAAAATATACCATAAACTACCTATACTTAAGCAAAGATTAAATATACCCTTTAAATATACCCTTTCTTCAAGATGCGACACTTCTGTCGGAACCTTTGAAGTTGGCAAATGCGAATATTTGACCTTGCACGCCCACAAATCGTTTCTAAAACCGGCAACGTTGCATATTATCAAGGGAATATTTGAAAGTGTGTATTTGTATGCATTCGGTTGGTGGAGCGGATTGTTAAGTAGTTTAAATTTAATAAAAAAATATTAAAATCAAAAAAAAAAAATTTATTATAAAATAGAATGTCGCTTTAGTGATTGAGTGATTCAAATTCCTTTTTTTTTATTATTAGATATATTAAAAAATATAATATAATAATATTTAAACATATTGTGTATATATTGTGTTAATTAATATAACAGCAATTTAAAAATAAATAAAATGACAATTCAAGTTTATCCCTCAAGTTTTATGAGTATCAAGGGAATATTTGAAAGTGTGTATTTGTATGCATTCGGTTGGTGGAGCGGATTGTTAAGTAGTTTAAATTTAATAAAAAAATATTAAAATAAAAAAAAAATTAATTATAAAATGGAATGTCGCTTTAGTGATTGAGTGATTCAAATTCCTTTTTTATTATTATTAGATATATTAAAAAATATAATATAATAATATTTAAACATATTGTGTATATATTGTGTTAATTAATATAACAGCAATTTAAAAATAAATAAAATGACAATTCAAGTTTATCCCTCAAGTTTTATGAGTATGTACTAGGTCATGTACCTGTAAAACACTATTTTCATTTGTTAAACTATGTAAGGGCAGTATTTGGAATAAAAATAATAAAATACAAAATACTAAATTTGATTACATTTTTATTTATAATATAAATTCATTAATATACATAGTTTTCTAATTTTTTTTTGTTTGATTTTTGAAATCCCTATTACTATATTTTGCTATACAGGGTGTCCTGAAATTAGTGCACCATACTTTAACAGCAGATTGTACGTGCAAAAATAAGGAAAAAAGTTCCTATAAACAAAGGTCAAGAAATGCCTCTTAAGGGAGCTACAGCCCCCAAAAGGAAAGCCCCTGAAGATGGTTTTTATTTAATATCTCCAAAACCGTTAAAGATATAAAAGTGAAATTTGGGTAATTAATTAAACTTTTTATGACCAATAAGACGTAACAATAATTTAAAATTTTTCATGAGGTTTGGGTCAGATTGATAGGAAGTAGGGTTAAAACCACCTTAACTTTTTTGTACGTATCTTGTACCAGAATTTGGTGTCAGATTATAAAATTTTAGAGTTTTGAACA